TGCCGTTACCACTTTTCTTCCCGTTAACTCGCGTTTCACGGCCTTGAATTTTTACTCCCAATGCGCGTAAAGAAGTTTCACTTCAAATATAATTAAGAAATATTATTAAAAAACCAAGAGAACCACAGGTTAGTGATAGGTTGTTATTTAACTATCTGTTATTTTATAACAATTATTTAGAAATAACATAACGCAACCGTTACTACTTCTAAAAAACAACAGATATAAAATAACGACACGTAGAGATCGAACGTTCGTGAAACGAAATCGGCGCTCTGCACCGCCACGAAATTCGATGCTACTCGAAACAATTCCAAAAAACAACTAGTACGGATGGAAAACATGTTATTTCGACAACCATCAATACAGGCGGCGAGATACAACGGTCAACGGAGTGGGGAATGAGCTACGGCGCGGCGAACGTAGCTGCATCGGTCGATGGTCGTGTTGGGCTTGCAACAGCTTAAAAATAATAGGATATAAAAGAAGCAACTTTTTTGAAACAGTTGCGGGCATAACGCCTGGCGGTCTAGATAACAGGAGTGGGAAAGGAACGCTGCTGCATCAGTCGATTGTCGATGGAGGCTCGCAACGGGTTGGAGAATAACGTATAGAAAATAAGCAGTCATCTTAGATACGTTATTTTTTAACCTGTTACGAGCATAACAGGCGGCGGTCGAAACAATCAGAGTGGGAAAGGAACGCTGCTGCACCGGTCGATTGTCGATGGAGGTTCGAAACAGATTGGAGAATAAAACATCAGTTGTTTTAGATACGTGTTTCTCAACCTGTTACGAGAATAAAGGGCGGAGGTCGAGATATTATGGCGCTGTATGTTTCAGTACTTAGTTATTAAATTTCAATATTTAGATATTTATTTATTCTGAAAAAAATTCAGAATAAATACTTAAGTAGAAATTCTCCTTTGTAAATTTAAGTGTAAAATTAATTCGAACTCTAGTTTGTAGTTGGTTTATTTATAAAGAATATACACATTTTCTTATATTGCTATTTTTTGACCGCAAACGGTAAAATCATAACTAAGAGCTTCTCGCCCGTCGAGTGAGATGCACCCTGTACACTGCTACGCAATTCAGGCGGATCGAGAGGCAGGGCGTAGGTAGATCGGAATGTATAGGTATAGACGAGTGACGGCATTTTGGCTTTTTTTAAATCGCAATTTGTAAACAGCGCTTATTTGTAAACAACCACCGTTTTTAGAGAGGTATTTTAGATAACAATCGATATTTAGAAATGTTTTGACACCCTGGAAATACTACCACCGAGCACATCATCGTTGCAGCTTGCAGCTGCGATAATACGCCTGGCGGTGACCGCCTCATACTCTTTCAGATATTTAGCAATAAAATAAAGAAACCTGTTATTTTTAAGCTGTTATTTTAAGCTGTTTTTTATAAATAACTATAACAGTTTCAACTGTTATCTAAAAATAACAGTTTTGCCCATCACTACCACAGGTATTTGAACCTCAATACAAATACTACAATAAAAAAATATCCCATGAAAAATGTAGCTTTTTACCACTGGCATCTCGACTTAATAAATAATGAAAGGTCAGTGGCGGGCACTTTTAATTCCCGCCATAATTAACTCGTAAATATTAACAGAGGTTGCCGGTATATCCGTGTTAGAGTGTGTGTGTAGCGGCCCATCGAATCAATTTAGCTTAACTCAAAAAGTTAAATCCAGTTTAAATTATTAATGGGTAGCAGAGGTCTGCGGCTTAGGCGAAGGCAATTTCTCATTATGATCCGCGTCGGGTTGCGTGACGTTTTGGCCCTTTCTGGCCAACGGAGCATCGCCATGAGTGTTTGTATTTCTAAAAATATTATCAGATTGTTCATAGATAATTTAATTGTTTTTTACTTTTATTAGTTTTTGTGGGCGTACTATTGTAGTTATCGTCTGATTAAAGTTTTAACTAAAATCAAAGAAAGGATAATCAGATATTACCATATTATGTTATTATTTATATTAATATATAATATTTTTCCTGAAGTTCAGATTGTTTTCACCAGCGGCATAGCGTCGCGTCAATATGTAATAAGTAACTTATTTTTCTTTTTTTATATTATATTTTAAATTTTAAAATTAAAATCAATAATTCTTCTGGTATGCATATTTGCGAAAACTTTTATTACATTTTCTTCAAATGAAGGAGAAGAATGCCTACTCTCTACTAATGAACATTCAATGTTTATCATAAATCATCGTAGCCAGTAGTATTCCATACATTTTATTCTTTGGATAATAATAGACAAGGCTAACAAAAAAGTTTATCGAATGCCTTACAACCACATAACCAGTGTTCACTTTTATAAACATTTTCACTAAAATGACGAATACAGGATGTCAATTTAGTATAAATATTTAAAATATGCTTTGGAGGTCTTTTTTCAATAGTTTTTAATTTTTCTGACACATAAAACTGAAGGATGATGGCAAAATTATTTCTATTTTACAGAGGCACCCAGAATCGGTCAAAGTGACGCGCAAAAGAGATGTGTTTAAAGAAACCGCATCACCCACCGACTAAAACTGCGAAATGTAGACGTATTCACGGCCGGAAAGTTCGCTGACCCCGGCTCGTGTTCGTCGGCGTTCAGTATGTAACAGCGCTTTCAGATGGAGCGGACCGTCCGCGAGTTCCATGAGTTTAAATGAACAATTTCACATGGGTCGCGTATGCTCCGTCCGGATTAGCTATCCTGAAAAATAATCCGCGCGGACGGTCTGCTCCATCTGAAAGCGCTGTAACGAGGATCATCGCATCGATATATTGCATCATCGCGCTGTCGAAATATTTTTATTTTTAGCGTTTAGTTAGGTTAGGCGTTATCTATAAAGCTCGACCAATACATACATTAAATAATTGAAATAGATTTTAATTATTTGAATAAATTTACTGAGAAAAAATTTACTCAGTGACTTTTTTAAATAAAACTGTCTCACAATATTTTGAAGGGATGTAACGTATCGCCCGCATTAATCGAAGTTTCTCCGCTTGTTTTCACTCTCTTGATAAGATATTTTATTTTTTAAAACAAAGACTTGGGGCATTTCAGTTAGTTACAGAAAATTCCGACCGTAGCGCTGTATACGGCAGAACATTTTCGTTATGTATTTCACGCCGTCCCGGTTATAGTTCATGTTGATCGTATTAAAATAATATTGAAATAGTGGCTTTGTTATAATATTTAAGTATTTTAGTTTTTTGTTAGTGCGGTTATTGAAACTATAAAATATTCAGGTACGAGGTTTGTGTGACGTAACGCTGTTTCGGGTAGTAAAAAATGATTGAAAAAGAATCCGAACTAGGCATCGTATTGTGTTGTGACAATTTCAAATGTTAATTGGATTAAAATGCTTGTTACGTAATCAAAAAAATAAATAGACATATCTATGAGAGGATAACAAATAAATTGCAATATTAATGGTATACTTTTTTTTAATCAACTAGTGATGAAATGTTTTATGAACATCTTCTAAAATTATAATTATGTACTTTAAAAAAAAATCGTTATAGCCCAAATAGTCCTAAATAACCTCACTTGCAAAACCAGTGCGTAAAAATATGCTCGCTACCCTAGTTGAACTCATCTAAAAAGCGCTTTTAGCTGGAGTAATAAATTATAATACAAGTTAAACCTGCTGAAGATCTCAAATTATTTACTTTTTATTGTTATTTTTAGAATTTTCACAAAATTATATCATATTTTTTTTGTATACTCACTGTTTAAACTCGTGTATTTGTATATATCAGTTATTTACGATATTCTCCGATGGTGGCAGCACCGGCCGAGAATGCACCAAGCCCTATACGTATAAATTTCAAAGTTTATTATAGTCCCTTAACTCTTTTTTAATCTTTCGACCATGTCTTATTTTACCCCATATTTTTGTTACAGACATTCAAAATTCTTTACATTGTATTATATTTACATTTTTCAGTATGTAACAAAGTCAAACAAAACCAAAGCAAGAGGGAGACTAACAAAGCTAAAACAATGGGCAACGACCGCGGCCATATTTTCTTCGTAAAATTCTGTTTCTTTTGACAAAAGATATACAGCATATTTTAAAAAGGAGGGCGATTTATGAAGTCAATTAACTCTATTGTCAGTATTCTTTATTTAGATAAGTGCTTTTTCTCAAGAAAATTATTCAGAATTTTCTTTGTGTTTTTATTTTGCTTTTATTGTCTTTTAATTGAATTAATTTTTTTTGGGCGCTGTAAATCTTCTGCAATAAATTTTACTTACGTCTATATCAAACAGGGTCCGGCAATAGTGCATCGAGCATCTGTAGCTCCTAGAATAAAAAAACTTGAGAATTTTTTTAAATGCATACCTAAAGTATGTACCTGGATGTATTTTAGGAAAATAATTTAACTTTTATAGGATGGCTCAAAATAGTGTGAGTGGATCTGGATGATTTGTTTTAAGTGGAACACCCTGTATATTATTGCATTTTTGGCTTCCTTTCAGATCACTTTACATAATCCTAAGATATGAGTAAATATATTTCAATAGTTTCAGAGATATTAAAAAATAAATCAAAAATATATATTTTTCAGCCCTTCTTAAAAAAATATTAAAAATACAAGAACTGTTCTGAAATCAAAACTATATTAGATATTTACTCTCTGTTCTTACTTTGCTATAAATATGGTAATCATAAATCATACAGGATGTTCAATATTCTCCGTTAAACTTTCTAAAATATAAAATACTTTTCCTTTTTTTAATAGATTTTTATTAGATTAGCAGCCAACAGTTTTAATTTCCTATTTGCTTTGTAATTTTTTTATTTTATCTATACACTGTAATCAAGATATTGGGAGACATATAAAATATGTATATGGCGTATTTGTTACTGAAACATCGATATTTGTGCAGTATATCCAAAAATCTTCTTGACAGTTTATACATTCTCTTACATCTTAACCAAACTTTCCTAATTAATTTCCTCTGTTCCAGGATACTTGGCTTCAGGAGAGCCATGCCCGTAACCGGACGCCTCCTCAACATGACGACGGACTTGTACCAGAAAGCCGAGGGCGACCTCCTCAACACCTTCTTCGTCTCGCCCTCGGACAATCTTTGCTTCCACGGCAAGTGCTCGTACTACTGCGACACATCGCACGCGATTTGCGGCAATCCGGACATGTTGGAGGGCAGTTTCGCGGCGTTCTTGCCTTCGAACAAGATCGCGCCGACAAAGGTGAGTTTTGCTGGGATTTGTTAAGGTTGGTTTTAATTCAAATTCCGTGTATTGGAGAGAAACAATGAAATGAGTCTCATATATTACAAAGTTATGTTACAATAAATATTCTACAGTCTACGTCCAAATATTCGTAGCAAATATATTTTTGTTTTACAGAGATAATAAAAATCACATTTTTGAATAATGTCTGGATTTTTCGCTACTGAAAAAGAAATTGACAAAATAAAAAAGTTATTTTTTTGTAAACATTACTGCGTTGAATACAAAACGAATCCAGTCTGTCTAACCGACAAAAAATGCTTAACATTTCAGGAGGTATATCTCCTATCATGGTCAGAATTGAAAAAACACAAAGAACAAATAAAAAACTATTTAACATATCTAAATACAACTATTCAAGAACACTTTACTTTTTAGCAGATACATCTATTATAAACAGTTGACGTTCTCGTTATTGAAATGTTATTATAATTAACTTTATAAGAGGGCAGGTTATATGGTAGAATTTTGCGTAATATATAGATTAGAAGATAGAAGGGAAGAAGACAATGGTTTTAGAGCATTTAGGTGATGTACAGGTAACGTGTTTTCTCTGAATATAATGTTTCAGAGAGAAAAATATCTTCAAGAATCCCTCTCTTTCTCTTTCTCTTTCTCTTTCTATTTCTCTTTCTCTTTCTCTTTCTCTTTCTCTTTCTCTTTCTCTTTCTCTTTCTCTTTCTCTTTCTCTTTCTCTTTCTCTTTCTCTTTCTCTTTCTCTTTCTCTTTCTCTTTCTCTTTCTCTTTCTCTTCTCTTCTTCTTTCTTCTTCTTCTTTCTTCTTTCTTCTTTCTTTCTCTTCCTCTTTCTCTTTCTCTTTCTCTTTCTCTTTCTCTTTCTCTTTCTCTTTCTCTTTCTCTTTCTCTTTCTCTTTCTCTTTCTCTTTCTCTTTCTCTTTCCCTTCTCTTTCCCTTTTTTCTCATTCTTTAAGAAAAAGCAATCTGTATCATAAAATATTTTTCTTGGTTTTTACCTTCTAAATTAATTTCTCTAAAATAACTTAACTAAAACACTTTAAATGAACTTTCATGTTTGTACGACATACTTTCCTAGCAAGTGTTAAATCTGAAAACGACTTTCCATTATTTAATTTCCTTTTAAAAATGTTTTCGATAAAATGTAAAAAGAAAGAGTAATTTGAAAATGCTGGTTAAAATAATAAGGTTACTTGAAGTAAAAAAGATCTGGGGCAGGTATTTTAAAAACAATTCAGTTCCTAATGGGATAATTTAACGGGATGTGAAGGGAAAATGGCTTTAGTAAATGTTGAAAAGACTTTGGAAAACGTTGGTTCATTATTCAATTATACTATTCAAAGAAAATAATAGAAAATGTCATTAATGTAAAAAGAAATCCATTATCAAATAATATATTCGAAGTATTCATTTTTTATCATTTATGGACTTCAGATTTATAAAACTCTTTCACAATATAAATTAGTTAAGTAGCTTTTAAACCGAAAACAAGCATTTACAATCTACATTCAGATGCAAAAAAACGTAACAGAGAAATTCTTGATTACACTTAAAGCGTTATATTTTTGTTATTTTTAGCCCTATTTTCATGATTTTTTTAGCAAACTGTATATAATTATATCAACTTTAATTCGTATACTAAGTTTTTTTGTAAACTTTATTATTTGACATATTATACAGGGTTAATCGATGGGTTATTTTTTTACCCTAACTTTAAAATACCCTGTGATATCATTTAGTGTGTAAATTTTCGGTTTTTCATTTTTAAGAAAGAAATGAACTGATCACGATCAATTTGCAAGTTTTTCAATTATCATTACTTTTTGATGTATTTTTTTAATACGACAAAATGGTTTTGGTTACTATTGTCGTGACGTCATATTACGCTGCATTGGATACTCTATACTAAATAAAAAAAACGTTAAAAACTAACAATACAGTCCTGGTTTTAATAAACCTTAATATTGATAACAGAACTAATGAGATTAAAGGAAACATCTGTAATATACTCAAGTATACAAACCGAAGAAAAAATTGTAAAAAATACCATAACACTTTGTCTTGCTAATATTTCATATACAGGGTGGTCCGAACTGTATTCGGGAAACTTCGGCAGCATATCCTGCAGACAAAAATAAGTAAAAAAGTTCGTATAAATGTATGCCTAAAATGTTTATTTTTGGAGATATAGGGTGTAGAAATTTCATTTTTATTTTCATTTTTTCCAAATAATTTTTAAACTAACGTCAATATTTGGATGAAAAATGGTGTCTAGGAGTTTTGTGACATGATAAATTTGATTTTGATGTCAAAATGACTCTTATTTGCAGGGGCGCCACCTACATGCGTTTTGGCCATTTTGAAGAGTAATAACTTTTCGTCCGTACGTGTATAAAACTACTGACTAAAAAAATATTCATTTTCATGACTTTTTACGTAAAAAATGTCTCTTGGTAAAAATCGCTACGAGCAACCGTTCTCAAGATATTTTGAATGGAAATAGTCAATACATGTCATTATTGACAAAAAATAAGCACGTTGAATATAGTTATTTGACTGAAATACTACATTTTTATTTTTTTAAATTAATCATATATTTTTCTGGAAAAATAATGATTAAGCAGTTTCTGTTGAACTTCTGGCACAAAACCATTTCAAAGTTATGATTTTAGTGTAATAACTATTTAGTCAACATGTTTAATTTAACTCAATGATGACAGGTATTGGTAATTTCGATTCCAAATATCTCGAGAACCATTAATCGTAGCGATTTTTACCAAGAAACTTTTTTTACGTAAAAAACTTCGTAAATATATATTTTTTAACTAACTAGTTTTATACAGGTACGAACGAAAAGTTATTACTCTTCAAACCACTTAAAAATTATGTAGGTGGCGCCCTCTACAAGTAGGAGCCATATTGACATCAAAATCAAATTCCGCATGTCAAAAAACTCCCAGACACCAAGTTTCATCTAAATATTGACGTTACTTCAATTAATTGGAAAAAATCGAAGTAAAAGTGAAACTTCCACACCCGGTATCTCCCAAAACTAAGCATTTTAGGACATACATTTATACGAACTTTTTTACTAATTTTTATGCTGCAGGAGTTTACGGAATACAGTTCGGACCACCGTGTATAATGAAAAATAAAGGAATAACTTATAACGTTTTTTAATTTAAATATACTAAAAAAATAAATTTCCGATAATAGGAATTAGAATTCATAACACAACCCGTTACGAATTTGAAATCCTTTGCCAAACAATCGACAATAAATCTCCCCAAAAAGAAACTAGATAGTATTGAAAGTTAGTGAAAAAAGACACGACAAACAAACAAACAAACGCTGTTTAATTTTGAATCGGCGGCCGGTGGACGCATTCGGCACAATTCCCGGTCATTCGGTTATTTGATTTATGGCAGTAACGAGTCCCTTGTTTTTGAGCAAGTTTTTGTCCTCCGCTCGGGACGAAAAAAGCAAATAATTTTCGATTAATCCAGAAACACAATTTAACTTTGCCCGATAAAGGGATTTTTAGAAACGCCGCACGTACTCAAACTCCCATAATTTACATTTAATGTTCTTTTTTTCAAAGCGCACGTTATCAGTTATTAATGTTAATTGATTTATTTGTTGGTAGGTTGACTTTCTCAAGTCGAGACTGATATAAATTGTTAAAATAAAGTTTGATAAAGTTATTGAAACTTGTTTTAAATGTGCTATTTGGGTAAGAGAAATATAGAAACTGTCAAACCAGAGTTGACTTGGATTTCTAGAGTTTAACGGTATTTCTTTCTGTCTCTTTCCCTTTTCTTTTTCTTTCTTTTTTCTTTTTCTTTCTCTTTCTCTTTTTCTTTCTCTTTCTCTTTCTCAGCCTAATACAGAAATATACAGCCTGTATATTATCGACATGAAACTGATAATTTGGTGACCATACAACATATTATGCAAAGAATAGTAAATTTAAAGTATCTAGACTGAAAAAAGTTCTTTAGCCTTCTTATGATAAAAGTCAGAGCTGTAGAGATTTATTTTGCTTAATTTCAATTAAATGAACAAAACTAAACTTAAATAGATTAGCTATAAAATAAACTAAACATGTATACTTAAATCTTACACGTATTATAAATATAACATAAAAAATAAAAATAAGTAATATTTCGAATTGTTTCTGCACGTGAAAACTCTTTATCGCCGTATATTATGTCAAATTAAACTAAAGTAAGTATATGTGTCGAGTTTATCGGATTTTCCAGCTTGTTTACGAACGATATATATTTGCGAAGTTCCGTGAGAGGCGGCATTAGGAGATGACAGAAAAGTGGCAAACCTACTTCGAACACGTTAGAATCGTTGTCGATCGACAAGTGTGCTTGAAAGTTATTTCGATCTGAACATTTTGTAATCCGCTTTAAACTGTCAACGATCCTGAATAAAATATCTAGCTAAAAACTTTTTTTATCTTAATAATATTTTATATCTTTAATGATATTTTTATCTCTCTCATATTTGTTACTACAGGGTGTAGAAGTTTTATTTTTATTTCGATTTTTTTTGCCAATATTTTCAATTGATTATTTCGCTTCCGAATATTTTGAGAACCAATACATAAAAATGAAACTCCTACATCCTGTTCCGAATTTCATTCTGCTTTTTTCATTCGGAAATTCCAATTTCCGAATGAAGTATTTTAGGACGTACATTTATAAAATTTTTAGCCGACCAAACCAAACCAACAGGTATGGTAAGCTATTAAGAGCGGTATTTTTTTAAATTCACTCAAAATGAGTTATTTGGGTCATAAATGACCTAAATACAAAATATTTTTTTGGTGTCTGTCTGTCCGTCTGTCCGTCTGTAACACGATAACTCAAAAACCGCTAAACCGATTTTAACCAAATTTGGCACAAAAATACTGTGACACCCGATAATCTGGCCATTACTTTTTGGTGGGGGGTTGGTAAGGAGGTATGGGAGCGGGTATGGGAGGGGGTATGGGAGGGGGTATGGAAGGGGGTATCACGGCGCCAATTTTTTTACTTATTTTAATCTACAGAATATGCTATTTTTCAAATACAATTCCTGTATATGATATACCATATAGCGAAATCAACTACAACATAAAAATAATTTAGCTATTTTCAAAATGCTTGTTTCTTGTTAAATAAATCTGAAATCCATAACTGTTAAAAATAATGTAATACTTCGAAGATATTTGGACTTCTATAATGGACTTCTTTCTATATCATTGACACTTTCTATTATTCTCTTTTACTTTTATAGTTTTATTGTTGGTAATAATGAACAAACGTTCTTAAAAGTCTTTTCAGCATCTTAATAAAGCCATTTTCCCTTCACAGTGACTAAATCCCGTTAAATTATCTCATTAGGAACTCAATTGTTCGTTTTTAAAATACCTGCCCAGATCTTTTTTACTTTAAGTAACTTAATATTTTAACCAGCCTTTTCAAACTAATCTTTCTTTTTACATTTTATCGAAAACATTTTTAAAAAGAAATTAAATAATGGAAAGTCGTTTTCAGATTTAACACTTTTATGCTAGAAAAAGTTTGTCGTATAAACATGAATGTTCATTTAAAGTGTTTAAATCAAGTTATTTTAGAACTATTAATTCAGAACGATAAAAACTAAGAAAATATTTTATAACACAGATTATTTTTTAAGAGAATGAAAAAGAAAGAGAAAGAGAAAGAGAAAGAGAAAGAGAAAGAGAAAGAGAAAGAAGAGAAGAGAAAAAGAAAGAGAAAGAGAAAGAGAAAGAGAAAGAGAAAGAGAAAGAGAAAGAGAAAGAGAAAGAGAAAGAGAAAGAGAAAGAGAAAGAGAAAGAGAAAGAGAAAGAGAAAGAGAAAGAGAAAGAGAAAGAGAAAGAGAAAGAGAAAACGTTAAAATCTAAGACAAATTTGGCAGGACAAATCCAAGATAATTTAGATAAGATAGTTGTTTTTTTTAGTTCTAAACATTAGCACGTGTGTTAAAATCGCACACAACTTTAAATTTTATGGACTTGCTCCAGTTCACTTCTGAAAGAAATCAACACAATGTTCAGAAACGGGCTATAGCTGCTTAATGCGTGAAGTATGACTTCTTTTCATCAATTCATTTCTCTACTGGAAAAAAACGATATTTTATAAACATATTAATTATCATTAAAGACGAGATTATCTTAAAATAGTAGGAAATTGGACTTGATCCATTTTAATTCTGACCACTCCATATGTAGATATACAGGGTCCGGCAATAGTGCATCGGGCATCTGTAGCTCCTAGAATAAAAACTTGGAAATTTTGTTTAAGTACAAACCTAAATTATGTACTAGGATGTATTTCAGGAAAATATTTTAACTTCTATAGGGAGGCTCAAAAAAGTGTGAGTGGATCGGGATGATTTTTTTTAAATGGAACACCCTGTATATTATTGGATTTTTGGCTTCCTTTCAGACCACTTTACATAATCCTAAGACATGAGTAAATATACTTCGATAATTTCAGAGATATTAAGAAATAAATAAAAATTATATATTTTTCAGCCTTTCTTAAAAAAATTATTAATAATACAAGAACTGTTCTGAAATCAAGACTATATTAGATATTTACTTTAGATGGTCTGTTCTTACTTTGCTATAAATATGGAAATCGTAAAGCATACAGGATGTTCAAAATTCTACGCCAAACTTTCTAAAATTTAAAACAAATTTTCTTCGTTTTTTTAAATGGAACACCCTGTATATTATTTTTTCAATAGACGGAGAATTAAAAAATGAACATTTTTTGTATTTAGAGTATTTCAAAATTTTTAACGGTTTCGCAGATATTCCCGATTTTGTCTTTCATATGGCATTTTCCACAGTAAATTTTCATCAAAGCCACCTAATGATTTTTCTCTCGTATTTTACCATTGGAAGCGCCATATAAAATAATACTACGTGTATCTGGAAAACTATTAAAAATTTTGAAATACTTTAAATACAAAAAATGTTCATTTTTTAATTCTCCACATAATAAAAAAATAATATACAGGTATATAATAGGGTGTTCCATTTAAAAAAACGAAGAAAACTTATTTTATATTTTTGAAAGTTTGGCGTAAAATGTATGATTGGCGTAAAAGTATGATTTACGACTACCATATTTATAGCAAAGTTAGAACAGACCATCTCGAGTAAATATATAATATAGTTTTCATTTCAGAACAGTTCTTGTATTTTTAATATTTTTTTTTAAGAAGGGTTGAAAAATATATATTTTTGATTTATTTTTTAATATCTCTGACACTATCGAAATATATTTACTCATGTCTTAGGATTATGTAAAGTGATCTGAAAGGAAGCCAAAAATGCAATAATATACAGGGTGTTCCATTTAGAAAAAGTCATCCAGATCCACTCACACTTTTTTGAGCCACCCTATAGGAGTTAAAATATTTTCCGGAAATACATCCTGGTACATACTTTAGGCTTGCACTTAAACAAAATTCTGAATTTGTATATTTTAGGAGCTACAGATGCCCGACGCACTATTGCCGGACCCTGTATATTTAAAAGTAAACAAAATAGTATGAAACATTTCCCTAATAATATTTTAAATAAACGGTATAAAAATTTGCTGTAAAATACGCCCAGCAACATTTTAAACAGTTTATTTTTTTTCAAAATCTCCCTTCGAAACATTTCATCCCCCCATTAAGCAAGAAAAAATAACAAGGGAAAGGGACTAAAAAAGGGTCCGGAGGATCTACACAGTCTCATCCCTACCTATAAATCACCTGCTCAATCCCCTTCCGTACGATTTATTTGCAGGTATGGAGACATCCGTGGCGCCGCTCCTACCACAAGAGGCGGAAAGCTCAATGGGAGACGGACCCCAACTACTGTCAAATGGTGCGCGAGATCCCCCCCTACGACAAGGGTCGGCGGCTGCTCGACCTCATGGACATGGCCGTGTTCGATTTCCTTATTGGGAACATGGACCGGCACCACTACGAGACTTTTAGGTGAGTCGAGTTTACTGGACGGTTTTTTAGATAGGAAAATAGAGATTTAAAATTTAGTTTAAACGTCTTCTTTATGCTGCTAGGGCTAATCAAAACAGTAGGGCGGATAAAAAAAATCGACTACTTTTTTTCACTTTAAACTTTAAATAAAACGTTGATAGTCACCTCAACAAACTATGAAGTATAAGCTCTTAATTTTAACAGGAAGGTCTTCCACTTTTCTGTTTTCTATTTTTTCCTTGTTATTAGAAAGAAAAAACATATAGTAATCGCAAAACGATTTCCGATGGACGTGATCAACTTTGAGTGACAAGCGATGGCGACAGCGCTGCCAGATTGAGATGGATTTATGAGATGAACTTTAATTTAAGAGTGACAAACAATATATTTATTATATCATTTTTTAAAGATTTTTACGTTTTATTTTTAATTTAATAACTAATATTTTAGTTGAAAAAAATTGATTTATTTGTTTAATAGCTTATTTTGCTTATTACATATTGGCAAAAACTAGTCCATTATGGATATTATTCTAAGCGTTATTATAGATTATTTATTTATTTATTGATGTACACCTTACACCGCCATAAGTGGTAATAATAAAAGGGTGTAGTCAAGTTTAAGTTAAGTTAACCGTTTAAAAGATATTCATCGTCAAACTTCAATGGACAATAACTTTAACAGTTTTTGTTTAATAATTGGAAAATTCTAATTTATTTTATGAGTTTCCCGAAGATTTGTACAAATTTGAGTTTCTATGAACATAGAAATGTTTTAAACTTTTTTTTCTATTTTTTTTTTAGTCCTATGCATGTTTGGGTGTATTGTAACAAAAATTAGAGTTAATGATTTATTAAATTTCGTGTAAATAACGTTTTCGTCACAAATTACTTATTATATTATATTATAATTGACTTACGTTGGGAAAAGCAATAATACATAAAATTTAATGAAATAAAGGCAGTACTTTTTTTTAAATAAGTACTGTTTTTTTTACTAAAATACACCAACGAACGGCGGTATTTTTTATATATTTAGGAACAAATGCCATATATGAAAAATTTACCTCGTTTTTTGGCGGTATTCGTTTTATGAAATATGTTATCCCGTGTTAAACGGGTCTTTCTTTTATATATGCCTTTTATGAACTGTTGTTTAAAGATGTCATAAGAGTGGTTAAATTACTTAATCAAAAATAGCTCATTGATTTACGTGTAATAACACGTAACTCATGAAAAAACTGACTTGTAATTTTTTTAATCTCTACAATACCTACATGACTTTTTTTACTATTACCGTCAAAAATAAATAAATAGCGCTTGATTAGCCTAGAATTGAAAACGTTTTTTGAGAAAATTGCATTTAAAAATTGCAAGTTTGTATAAATTGGACCTGATGTAGTTTGTTCGGATTTGTTTATTTTGATTTATGCGGTAGTGATTGTTTTTTTCGCGTTTTTTTATTTTTTGTGTACGCGGAATTTAAATGAATCTAAAATTAGTTTGTCAAATGATTGCACGGTTGCAAATGTCAATTATCATTTTTAATTGGTGTTATATCTAGTAAATTGGTGTGAAATCTATAGTAAAACTTACTAATGTAATTAAATATAGTTCATATTGTTACGTTTTTCGTCGGTTCCGTGTGGATAGAAAGTTACAATTTATTTAAACACTATTTATTTAACACTAATTAACAAAAACAATAACGATAAAAGACTTAAAGAACTATTTACAAACGATTTATAACTATTTATCTAGAAAGAATTTATTTTGAATTTTAGCGCGTCAACTGTACTCGTCTATTCATGTCTGCCCTCTTTAGGCCCCAGCCGCCGGCTTTTATACCCACAGCTAAAGATTTCTCGAATAGTCATAGATCGTTAGGTGCATAGAGAAGGTTTCGATTGTTCTCGTATGTACTACTCCATTCCAGTGGAACTCGATTCTTCTCGAAACTTCGAATGAATTATTACGGTGTCTATTCTTTAGTGCGATGTTAAGGTCATCTGAGGGCGTGTCATATAGTTAGGTTAGGTCGAGTTTACACGGGTCCGCAACAATATCAAACAAACCTTTGATTCACGTCAGTGATTAAGCTTGACCGGCACAGCGTTGCCCCCTTTTACATATTTTCTTTTTTAATAAAAATAGTTTAGGAAACAAAAATAAATTAGTTATAAATATATAAACAGTTGTTATCTACATCAACAAAACTGACCTAATTAACAGAACTTAAGGGACAAACCAAACTACCGCTTTCTCGTTCAAAATATTCTAATAAAGTTGCGATGAGTTTTTTACGGCTATTAAGCTATCTTGTACACTTCGCTATAAAAGAGGTTCTAAAAAGAACAATGTTCGACTGCGCTGCAACTAAAAACTAGTAATACAAAACTAAAATGTCAAAACGAATGACAATGTCAGGAAATTAATAGATAAATGTGGCATCTGGACATTTTTTACAGGAGAGCTACCACCTGAATCCCCAGCGCGATATTAAAATTACAGTTAGTCAGCCCGACGCCGAATAAGTTCACGGCTGGCAAGAACGAATTTAAAAATCGCGCTCTCGATTACGTAACTAAAAGTTTAATTAATATCAAATATAGATTTGTGTCTCGTTCTATCTTTTTTTAATCTCTCTATAATTAGTGACAAGTGTTATGTCAATTTTTAGTAAATTACGTCTAGAGATTGACCTCGCCGAAAGTATCGATTGTCATTCCCCAGCCGTCTTAGACAGATACATTACTTCTTATGTCTGTTTCATCTCAAACATATAATAAAAATACATAAAATATTAAACTGTAAACAGAATATTAAGTTTCCTTTCAATAAGTTTGTGTAGCGAACAAGTACTCGTTAAGCGTAAAGTTTACGAGGGATCTCCCGCCCCCGCTTGTTGGTATCTATATTTGAATCTGTCAAGACTGTTAAACAACTTCCTCGGCGAGTTGTGTTCATTATGCATTTGAGTCGGCCCAACTTTAACACTCTTTAATATTAACGGTCGACATGGCCGCGAAAGTTGGGATACGTTGACTTAACGCGCCGTAGTTTATCATAATATATTAGCACGCCCGGAAACTTCGCTCCAGTAATATGTTTTGATATTCGAGGATATTACAGCATGAGATTCGATGTCAAGACTCGCGAACGTTATCAGTGAAATAAATAAAAGGTATTTTGATTTTACCGTTTAATATTTGGCGTTAACTTGGTGCAAATAAAAAACATGATTTTAATGAAGTGTATTTATGAAATTATTAGTTTACTATAACAAATCATAAATAAATAAATAAATAAATAAATGCCTTTATGGTCAAAAAATTTTTCAATTTGTAGACAAAGGTAAACTAACAAACAAAGTAAAAAAACAAGGTACACAAACAAACAAACAAAAGATAATACAAAACATTATACAAATAATATTGTGTCTTATTGTTAAAATAAACATTTATAAATGTTTACAATGTCAAAGAAAAAAATAAAAATAATATTCAAAAATATTTAGTTAGTTTATAGCAAAATATCAATGACCTCTAAATAAATTTATTTCGATGTCATTAGTAAATATAGCAATAGCAAACATTAGACCAGTGTTTACAAGATCAAATTCGATTTTCAAAATATAATTCATTTACGGCGTAGAAAGCCTTATCTAGTATAGAAATAAGAGTTCAATGCTTTGCGAAATGAAAAAAATGATGTTATGGATTTGATTTCAAATGGCAGGTGATTGTGCATTTTTTTCGAGTTGTATAATATTGAACTTTTAACTAACTCTGAGCGTGGGGTAGGTAGATAGAGATCTTGCTCCGTGTTCCTGAGTGGATAAGTGTGAGATGGCCTTTCTTGAGAAGCTGATATATTTACGTATTAGGCAAACGGATTCAAATATAAATAAGAAAGGAAGAGTCAATATTTTTAATTCTTTAAAAAAAGTCCCGGCAATGAGTTCTGCTGTTTAGTCCCAGTGAATATCGAACAGCTCTCTTCTGGAGCTTGAAAATGCGGTCAAATTGAGTCGCACAACACGTACCCCAGAATGGAAGGGCATACCTGAGGTGCGACTCAAAAAGTGCATAATAAACAGTTCTAGCCACTGACAAGTTAAGCTCCTTAGAAACAGACCTTAATGCAAAACAGGCACAGCTCAATTTTTTCGACAAAGCTTCGATATGTATGTCCCATTTCAGATAATTGTCCACAACAAGCCCTAAGAATTTTACAGATTTTACGACGTCAATGGTGGTGTTATTAAGTACAAAAGGCTGCAACGAGTTTTTATACGACAAAGCTTTAGTTTTGTCGTATGTTTTGTCATATGTTTTGTTGTTGTTTTGCCATAGTCTACCGATTTCGAGGTCTCGATCGTTGTGGAGTACGATCTTGGGGTCACCATCATCATCATTTTTACCTTATCACTTCCAATTATGGTGTAGCCTCCCTCACATATTTAGATAATCTCTTTGTAGTTGGACCCATTGTTGTCTGTTGTTGGCTATGCGGGCTCAAGTTATACTTGATAATTTCCTAATATAGTGGTCTCATCTCAGGTTTGGTTTGGTTTTATTCTTTGGTCCTCTTCTAGTACAATGCTGTAATTTGTCTGTTGTAATGCTACTGTAATGCTGTGATCTGTCTGTTGTTTGTTCTTCTTGCCAGGTGTTCTATCCATTGCCACTTCTGGGATTTCATTCTGTGAATGACATCTATTACCTGTATCCTTTGTCATATCCACTCTCCATATGCTATTTCCAGCATATTTTGTTCCATCGAGAATTGCGCCACTGCAGCTTCCTTATAATATCCATTTTAAGTGACTAGGTTTCGCCTACATAGGTCATGACTGGTAGTACAAATTGGCCAAATGTTTTTTTCTTTAGATAAAAGGTCTAGATCTCAATATGATTGAGTTTCTTTCTTATGCACTCCAAATTTATGTATATCATGGAATTTATGTATAATATATTATATATTTTATTTATCTCCGATTACAGAGAAGATAGAAAGTTGCGGTTTGCGCTAATATTTTGGGAACTTTGTGCTCTATTTAACTGTGCAAAGAGAAATATAGCCTCCTATTTAAATGTTTTATGCAAAAGGGCAATATCTGTTATGATGTCAAACAGCGCCCTCTAGCTACCACGAAAAAAATTATGGAAACAAAATTTATACTGGAGATCATTAAGGAAGAAAAGCTCTTTTAAATGAGCCTTAGTTTGTTTAAATCGACTAACCCAAACCCGAGTTATCCTTATTTTAATAAATACCTTCCCCCACAACTTTACAACAATTTTATGAGATAGAGCAAAATACTCTATCATCAAAAAAATTACAAATTTCTCGATGATTACAATAGTAATATTTAAAATACCTGTTCACCTGCATATTTTTCTGATTGGCTATCAAAGAAACGCCCCCTAGCGGACATTTTCCGAACTTAAATACTATGTGTAACTTTTACTGTGCTTAAGAAGACTTTAAATCTTATTTTCTTTTTTTGCCCAAGCCCTACGTTGGGCGCCAAATGTATAACCCACAAACCTTGACCGCTTTGAGTCAACGAGGCTCAGCGTCTTGAGCTACTTCTCGGAGAGTCATGTTCGTGTTTGTATGTTCCTCAAAGACAATTGAACAGTAAGATGTTGTAGACACTAAAACTAGTACCTAGTTTTGTAGTAGTGTTCTCAATTTACAAATTGAGTGACTGTTTAGGTGCCAATAAATATACAATTTTTTTTTCCTTTCTTGGGTATGAGGTTTTTTTTTATTAATTGTGTGTATCATTCACTTACATTCTTCTATATAGACTGGTGGTAGCAAGGCGGCTGCGACTTCAAGAATAAAGTGCCCGAGAAAGCCCACCATGATGAGGCGAAACATGAAATAAGAAAAAAAGTTTCCATTTTCAATTAATAAAAAAAACCTCATACCCAAGAATGGGAAAAAAAATATATATGGATATAATTCTGAAGGTTTAAGAAAAAGAAAAAAATAAACTCTTAAATATACAATAACATATAGTTAGTTCAATAAATATATATCTACCTATTTATACATTTTATAATTTTCGATTTACTTAATTATTTGTTTAATTTGGAAATTTAATTTTAGGTTATTTGGTAACAATACTTTTACTCTACATCTGGACCATGGACGAGGCTTCGGTAAGCCTTACCACGACGAAGTGTCAATATTGGCACCAGTACTTCAATGCTGTATGATAAGACAGTCTACGCTAGAAGTATTACTTAAGTAAGTACCACTACCACCTAATTTAACATATTCACACACCTTGATATATCAAACTCCTATTTATTTTTTAAAGAAGCACTGTCAAATTTTTTGTTCTAAATAGCTCTTCATATTAAATAAAACTTGAAACTAAAGAAATCATTAACAATTGTACGAAATTCTTTAAGCTCTAAAGAGAACTTAGAAGCAGAAAGTTTCATGAGAAGAAAAATATCCAAGAAACAAAATTTTTTTTTTCTCTCATTTGTACAAATATCGTGAGAACATCAATGTAATATATAAATTTCTACGAGAATATTTAAATGTATGAGACCAAACCCATAGGTTTTATTCATAATAAAGTTTATCGATGAAAAACACATAAAAATCTCACGTTTACGATGTCGAACTTACTCTTAAATTCAAATCGAATCCAGGCGATTTATTAAATTTTATCGAACCGTAAAAGTGTTCATACTGTTACATCTTGCGCGTTATTACCGTAAGAAATTTTACCTTTACACCACGTCTAATATTAGAGGGAAAATACATCTGAAGCCACTATCACAAAATGAGAAAAAAAATTCATAATATTTTGTTTTATGAGACGCACTTCTTTATAATGCTAAATATATTATTTTACGAATATCCTTTAATAGTAATTTATAAACTTTTATTAAGAATAAGATAAGATATATAATCTTATCTTATTTTTAGGTAGAATATACAAATATATAATTATTATAAACCAGAAGTTTTTAAAATCGAGATTTTTTAAATTAATATTGCTCTATATCTTTAGTGCTCTCTAATAATATTAAATTTCACGCTGTACCCTATTTAAATATTTAAATTATTAAAACTTTTTTAAAAACAAGTTTATATTTAAATTTTCTAAAAAGACGAAAATAAAACTTAAATTAAATCCATCAATAAAACAGCCACACAGAAATTTGATTTTGATGTCAATACGACTCCTATTTGTAGGGGCGTCACCTACATGTGTTTTAACTGTTTTGAAGAATAATAACTTTTTTTTTTGTCCGTACCTGTATAAAACTACTGAGTGAAAAAATTTACATTTCCGTGATTTTTTACGTAAGAAATATCTTGTAGTAAAAATCGTAACCGTTCTCAAGATAAATTTTGAATAGAAGTAGTCAATACATGTCATTATTGACAAAAAATAAACATGTCGAATAGATAGTTATTTGACTGAAATGATAAATTTCAGAACTTTTTATTTTTTTAAATTAATCATAAATTTTTCTTTGAAAAAATGATAATAACACTGTTTCTGTTGAAGTTTTGACACAAAATAATTTCAAATTTATGATTTCAGTCTAATAACTATTTAGTCAAGTTTTTTAATTTACGTCAATGATGACAGGTATTGATAATTTCGATTCCAAATATCTCGAGAACTCGTAGCGATTTTTACCAAGAGACCTTTTTTACGTAAAAAACGTCGTAAATGTATATTTTTTACTCAGTAGTTTTATACAGGTCCGGACGAAAACGTATTACTCTTCAAAGCAGTTAAAAAATATATAGGTGGCGCCCTCTACAAGTAGGAGTCATTTTGACATCAAAATCAAATTTCTGATGCTAAAAACTCCCAGACACCAATTTTCATCCAAATATTGACGTTAATTCAGAAATTATTTGGAAAAAATCGAAATAAAAATGAAACTTTTACTCCCTGTATCTCCGAAACTAAGTATTTTAGGACATACATTTATAGATTTTTTTTTACTTATTTTTATCTGCTGAATATGCTGCTGAAGTTTATTTTGCATCAAAAATTACAATTTTCTTCATTATCTTCCTATTTATCTTATACAAATACATTGGACAAAAAAAAACTGGAATATGGTTAATATCATCAATCTATCGTCATCTCCAAGCCACCTTGACGGCTATTTGTTTTTACCATACGGTATATAATATAATTCAAACGTTTCATTAAATTTTATCGAATACTCCTTTTATACTGTTACATCTTCTGTGCTTTTACCGCAAAAAAATCCGTCTGTACCTGTATGATGATATTTCTACGTTGGTACTCGTTACGTCTACATAGAAAGCCGTAGCGGCGAAGCGCAGACAAGAAAATTAAGCCTGGAAGGGTTCATGTACGAGATTAAAATAGCTTTGTCATTGTTCAGTTTAGAATAAAGCCCTAAGTGTATGTAATAAGGACGGAAAAAAGGCTTGTTGAAATTTAATTCCTTTTTGAGTCTAGGTAAAGGAGGAAAATTTCAGCTTATAAAAATAAAATACCAAGAGCGATTTTTAGGAAAATACTAAACTTAATAGGATATATGTTTAATTAAACTAAAATATCTTTAATAGCTAAGTTTTTTTCTGTTTCATTATCTTTGATCACATTGTTATACATTTATTTTTTCTATATTCTTATTTAATTTGTATAATAATACACGCATGATTAATTATTAATCACTGGCGTAATTTAATTATGGTGAGCGTCACGGGGTTATTCATCTTCCTGTATATGTATTAATTGAACTATTCGTTCACCTTCATCATTAATAAAATCATAAGATTTATCAAGTATGTTTATTTATTTGTACATATCGTTTTTTTTTTAATTTTGAGATATTTATTAACTATTAAACATTTTTAGGAATCTAAAAATACCAAATCAAGTAATTTTTTGTCAAAAGATTGTGAAAAAACTAACATGGATTTATTTCTGTTTTTTTCACAATCTTTTGGTTTATGAGGAACACTTCTTTATAATGTTGAATTTATTATTTTAAGAGTAACTATTGTTATACAGGGTGGTCCGGAAATTTCGGAAGAATATTCTGCAGATAAAAATAAGAAAAAAGTTCATATAAATGTCCTAAAATGCTTAGTTTCGGAGATACAGGGTGTAGAAATTTCATTTTTATTTCGATTTTTTCCAAATAATTTATGAAGTAACGTAAATATTTCGATCAAAATAGATATCTGGGAGTTTTTTGACATGAGTAATTTGATTTTGATATCAATATGACTCCTTACTCCGTACCTGTATAAAACTACTGAGTAAAAAAATATACATTTACGACAGTTTTTACGCAAAAAATATCTCTTGGTCAAAATCGCTACTAGTAATAGTTCTCGAGATTGGAACCGAAATGATCAATACCTGTCATCATTGACATAAATTAAACATATTGACTAAATAGTTATTAGAGTCAAATTATAAATTTGAAATTTTTTGTGTCAAAAGTTTAACAGAAACTGTTTTATCATCATTTTGTCGCAGAAAAATTTATGATAATTTTAAAAATAAATTCCCAAATTTATTATTTCAATCAAATAACTATCTACTCAAGGTGTTTATTTTTTTATCAATAATGACATGTATTGACTAATTCCATTCTAAATATCTTGAGAACGGTTGCTCGTACTGATTTTGACCAAGAGACATTTTTTAAGTAAAAATGACGGAAGTATAATTTTTTTCACTCAGTAGTTTTATACAGGTACGGAAGAAAAATTATTACTCTTCAAAACTCCCTCCAGATAGGAGTCACATTGACATCATAATCAAATTTCTCATGCCAAAAAACTCCCAGACACCAATTTCATTCAAATATTTACGTTACTTCAGAAATTATTTGGAAAAAATCGAAATAAAAATGAAACTTCTACACCCTGTAACTCCGAAATTAAGCATTTTAGGACATACATTTATACGAACTTTTTTACTTACTTGTATCTGCAGAATATGCTGCCGAAGTTTCCAGAATACAGTTGAGACCACCCTGTATTTTACTTCAACAATGACAGTTTTCTTCATTATCTTTCTATTTATCTTATTATACAAATACATTGGACAAAAAAATGGAAAATGGTTAATATCATCTATCGTCATTTGCAAGTCAGTTTAAGTATACAGGGTGTTAAAGAAATAGTGTATATAATTATAATATAGAAAACAAATTTCTTGCAGTGTAGGTATATAATAAAATTATATAAGGATTCTTGCCACTTAACTGCTTATATAGAAATTTAATTCTACGCTGTGTTTGTCATAATGTGGATCAACCTGCTCTCACTACCGGTTTCGGAGCCCTACTCCATCATCAGGTGAGCTTGGGCAGATCCAAGAACAGTTAACCGAATAGTACTGTTCATTCAGCCAAAAGTGTCCGCCAGGTGCATGCGAAAACTACTCGCTTTGTGACGTCATTGTAGTCCTTAACGGGAGATACCGGCCTGCGTGCAATGGTAGTACTTTCGTACCACCGGGGCGCCGGCTATCGATGGTAAAGGATGGTAAAAAGTCGGAATTAATCCACTTTCTGCGCTGTGGTTGTCATTTTGTGGATCTGCCCAAGCTCACCGGATGATGGAGTAGGGCTCCGAAACCGGTAGTGAGAGCAGGTTGATCCGCATTATGACAAACACAGTAAAATTAAAGGCTTTACAAGGTCTGGCAAGAGTGCGTCGGGCACTAGCTCATAGAATAAAATACTTGAGAATTTTAGTTTAGTGCAAACCTGGTATGTAACAGGATATTTCAGGAAAATATTTTAACTTCTATAGGGTGCTCAAAAGTGAGTGAGTTGACCTGATGATTTTAAATGAGAACACTTCTCTATTATTGCATTTTGGATTCCTTTCAGATCACTTTACATACACCTAAGATATAAATAAATATATTTCGATAGTTTAAGTCATATAAATCAAATCAATTTATTTTTTCAGCTCCTTCTGAATTTAAAATACAAGAACTGTTCCTGAAATCAAAACTATATTAGGTATTTACTTTAGATGGTCTATTCTTACTTTGCTATAAATATGGTAATCGGTAAATCCTACAGGATGTTCAATATTCTACGCCAAACTTTTCTAAAATATAAAATATTTTTTTTGTTTTTAAATGGAACACCCTGTATATTATTTTTTTATTAGATGGAGAGTGTAAAATGAACATTTTTTGTATTTAGAGTATTTCAAAATTTTATCGGTTTCTGCAGATACACGCAGTATTATTTCATATGGCGCTTTCAATGGTAAAATACGAGAGAAAAATCATTGGGTGGCTTTGATAAAAATTTACTGTGGAAAATGCCATATGAAATATAAAACCGCAAATATCTGCGAAACCGTTAAAAATTTTGAACTACTGTAAATATAAAAAATGTTCATTTTTTAATTCTCCGTCTATTGAAAAAATAATATACAGGGTGTTCTATTTAAAAAAACGAAGAAAAATTATTTTATATTTTAGAAATTTATTTATAGCAAAGTAAGTACAGACCATCTAAAGTAAATACCTAATATAGTTTTGATTTCAGAACAGTTCTTGTATTTTTAATATTTTTTTTTAAGAAGGGCAGAAAAATATATATTTTTGATTTATTTTTTAATATCTCTGAAACTATCGTAATATATTTATTCATATCTTAGGGTTATGTAAAGTGATTGGAAAGAAAGCCAAAAATGCAATAATATACAGCGTGTTCCATTTAAAAAAAATCATCCAGTCCACTCACACTTCTTTGAGCCACCCTATAGAAGTTAAAATATTTTCCTGAAATACATCCTGGTACATACTTTAGGTTTGCACTTTAACAAAATTCTCAAGTTTTTTATTCTAGGAGCTACAGATGCCCGACGCACTATTGCCGGACCCTGTATAAGCAGTAAGTTTAAGTGGCAAGAATCCTTATATAATTTTATTCTAATTATAATAGTATA